TGACATGTGCACTATCCTCTTTGAAATCACGTACATAACTGTATTTAGACACATCTACCGAATCACCAAAGGGTAACATTGGAAAAGTGAGAAACCAGGCAAAAGATTTATTTTTTTGCCTAACAGCCTTCCAGACTTTGACCCAGAGCCAAACTTTCATGCTCCAGTTTTCCATAATTCATTTCACATAAAGACATACAGCGACAGCCCATTGCCATTTAATATCACTGTTTTCAGATTATTCTCCTCTAATGCTGCTTTTCTTTCTGAAAGATTGTGTGTTGTTCTGTTTTTGGGGGTTTTTGGGTTTTGTTTTGTTTTTGCCATTTGCAATAGTTTTCTTTTGCCAAGCCAGAACAGACTGGGTGACTTCTTAGGTCATTTTGTGGGTGTTTGTTCTGGGGGACACTAAGTAATTGTTAATGCAAACAGCACTGAATAAACAAACAAGATGCATTCACTCAGTTAATACTGCCTTCTGGATCACTGAATACGGAAAAATTGTTGTTTATAGAGTGAATCATTAATTTGGCTTGTGTATTATATAAGCTTGCCACTAAAATAATAAATTATGAGTGGCAGATAAATACCATACTGGTTTTAACCAACGTAAAATGAATGAAACATTAAAAACCATGTTAGCTACTAATTGCCAACTTCAATTCTTTTGAAGCATAAGCTTTGCTAAGAGCTGGACATTTTGTTAAAAAGCTTTGTCAGGTAATTATTTTCCTCCCTGCCATAGAACTGCACAGGTTTGCCGATTCCAAAGTTCATCTCAGTCCTTGCACCTTTCAGGTAGATTGAGGTACATACAGCTTAGGGTCCTCCAGCTTTGTGAGCATCCTTCTTCTTACACTGATTTACTAAAACTGTAATTCTGTGCAATGGATATACAGATCCCCCTTCCTGTATTGAACTTTGTGAGGAGGTATGAGGCTTGAATCTAAAGACTGATGCCAACTTGCTGAGAAATTTTTCAGCAAATGAATCCAATATGTAAATTACTAAAAATCATTATGTTAACTGAACATAAGTAACTCAGTGGTCAAACAAAATATAATTCAAATGTGCTGGAAAGCAATAACTGAATGAGGGTTTATTAATCTGCAGTTACTCAACTGCTCCTTTGATTTACTGTGGTGTCTGCATGCCTCTGACTATTCTTCCAGTACCAGACACCTTGTGGCAATCTGGATGAAACGAATATGCAGTCATGGAATTTGGTTTTGAAGTAATGTTTCTCTTTTTCCAGAAATATTTTTATTTCCTGTAGAGCACGAAGTACTAGCTATGCTACATGTAAGAATAATTTCTAAATCTACTTTCCTATTTATAATAGATAATGTTTGGGGTTTAGTTTTAATTATTGCCTAAAAAAAAAAGGGCTTTGCAGAGTTACAAATGTATGTATGTTTAATTTCCTAACACACACAAAAATGACAGGTATGATTTTTTTCAGGCATTTTTACAATGTAGAGCCTAAAATATTTTGGCAAGAATGGAGGGAGAAGGATTTCAACAGGCAAACATTAGTAGTAAACTATTATCATAAGTAGTTGCTGATCAGTGATTTGTGCCTTTGAAATATGGTTTTAGTCTCTTTCCCCATTAGCAGTTCAGACATTTCTCAGAAAGTAAGAATTTCTTGTGATTTTTCTCCATCAAGTAAGACATATACAAGATGTATGCAATGATATCATATGCTAAATAAAACTGCACTTGATAATGCAATATTTTTCCATACACTTGTTTGTGCATACAGTATTGGATTCTTCCTTTGCACCAGTAATGCTGAGAATTAAGTGTTTCCTACTATCAGTAGTATTTCATTTGGCTTGTGGTATTTCCTACACTTCACAAAGTGTGTCTTCTTGATTTGTGCACACAAGAAATTTTCTTTTTGTTTAGTATCTTATTTCATTCTTGTATACTGGAGTATTCAGTCATGGAATTACTTTGTGAAATTACATCTATTATAGCACTTGAATATGACTTGATTTATTGTAAGAAGATCAGAGCATAGCTCAAGTGCTCAGTGCATTATCCTAAATGAAGCTTTGTCTCTGAGGGCTGCCATAGCCTTCATCTTTGCCATTATGCTTTAGCCATTGATTTCCCTTTAGAACACAAATGCCATAAAAATACTGCTTGGTAAATGTTTCTTCAGTATTGAATAACTGCTTTTTCTGCCAAGGGGGTGTCAAAGTCTCTTCTCTACCTGTCTGTCACACACTGTTCCTTTTACATGCATCAGCAGGGGTGAGCTAAATAGGTCTGATAACTCAGTTTTGGAGGAGATGCAGATTGCAAGTCAAGTTGAAAGGACAGCAAGTAACTTTTCAAAGCTTGCTTGTTTACATATCTCTGATTGCAGTGGTTCCCAGCCCCTTTAGAGAAAGGCACGCTGCTTTCTGCAAACCAGGCTCTGTCCTGGAGCTGTTTCCTCTGCACCTCCTGAATTCAAAGCCACAGGCAGCTCCTTTCTCACATTCTGAAGCACAGTTTGTCCCAGAGCAGCCTAATGGTGGGGAGGGGCAAAAAAAAAAAAAAAAAAATAGGCTGAAGGAAGCTTCTATGAGAGCTGGAAAGTTGCTCAGGTGAAAGTGGCTGTGATTTGGAGATGGGGTTGCAGAGATTAACAAGAAGCTTATCACGGATATCTGTAAGCAGTGGGTTTCACAATTTATCATTTTGCAAATGTTTTATTTTTGCAATTACTTAGGTTTATATTTTCTGCCTTTTTTCATGTATTACAGGAGGATACAATTAGCAATCATTGGGGCTTTTACCACCATCAGATATAACATTTCTGTATGATGCATGATATGTATTCCTGTAATTTAATTATCTAGAGTGTTTATTTGGGGTATAAATGCTGGAAACAATGACATTTCTGAGATGATTTATGGGGTACTGCACTTTGTAATCAAACCTTCTGTGTGCTGTTTGTAAAATATCAAGTGTTATAAAATTGCTGATAGTCAGAAAAAGAACATTGATAATGGGCTTACATTCTCTGTGCAGCTGCAGATGAAAATCTGTAGGAAATAGAGGGGAGCAGAAGCAGTGGCAGCTGTATTGCAAAGATTAGTAACTAGATGTTGCCTGCCTGAGAAACACATAAACTCTCTGCAAGGAGTTTTATTTTGTGTTGAGAATTATGTAGCTTCAGCTTTACATTTTAGACAATATTTTATTAGTAACAATTCTTTTTTTCCCTGTGATAATACAAGTATTTCTGAAATAAGTAAATAAATGTATTATATCTAAAAACAAAGAATAAAAATGGAGTCATACTGAGTTATAGAAATGAAGAGGTTTAGATAAGGTTTAGACCAAAGAAGTGCTAAAACAGAAAGAAAGTGGAACTGTCATTGACTGTGGAACCAAAGTTACCCAAACCCAAACTTTGCAGAGCTTTTACTAAGGCAGAACATAACACAAAAGAATAAACTTTGACTGCGCTAGGAATTAGTGACCTGCCATAACCAGGGCCCAAGAAGGGAGAGCATTGTTCATTACTACAGTTTATTTTTCAAAGATGCATGCTCTTATAGTTCCAGAAGGCTAAGAAGTCCTCAGAATATTTGGCTAAGGTGAGTAAAGTCTCTTTTCAACTTCAGTTTACTCAGCTGATAAAAGAGTTCATAAAGATTACAAGGAAACATACTTTGTAACACAATGACTGACCCACCAGAGAGAAAAGCTTTGAAACAGTAATAGTGACCTTGATTTTATGAGCACTTTTGATAGCAGAATTACAGTTCATTATTGGATCTTGGTGCTCATGTAAAGCTGATAAGGAAGGAATGTTGATGGGTCCTTTTTAAAATTACTGAATTGTAACCTAGCCAACCTAGGCTGTCTCTGCTAGAAATTAGTCTAGAGCACAGGCTGTGAACCAGGCAGAGCTCAATAAATAGAGAACATTAACCTTATATCTGTGCTGTTCAATAAAACTGCATTCAGGACAGCAAAATAAATCAAGACACTTAATGGAAGTATTTTATTATTAGTAAGAAGTTTAATTGTAAGTATTATGACTTAAATTTTTGCACTATGTGAGGAATTTCAAATTTTATTTTAAACTTAGGCTAGTGATGCAAATTTTGTGTTGATCAAGTACTATACCTATACAAATAATGGCAAACACATAACGCAAAATAACAATGAATGAAACTTCTGTTTTGCCCAGGACTGTTTTGTGTTTCCTGAAAATGTTACTGACTGGTGCATGAGTGGTTCTATTGTGGATCCAGCAGCAGGACAGTAGCCTCTGCTAACATCCTGTCCCAGTGGCTTTACCACATAAATAAATGAATGCATAAGTGTCCACAGCAATGCACACACTTTAAGTAAAGGCCAGGCAAAGTAATAATCGCAGGATTTAGTGTGACATTTTGCCAGCACTCACTTGTACTCCTGACTTTTCTAACATTTGTTTTTCAACTCATAAATATTTCTGCAAAGTAGGCACACTCTTAAATGACAGCAGCTTCTGTGGAGAGATTAGGTACATTAATAAAATGTGAGACAAAAGATACTGGTGAGTGATGGATTTTAATACGGGAAGAAAAGAAAAAAAAGGTTTTTTTTAAAAGAGAGGAGAATGTTCTGAAGAGCAACACTTAATTGTCTCTGTTTTTGTTACTTTTGAGTATACTCTTACTTATGAAACAAAAATTGGAAAACACAAAAAGAAAGAAATTTACACTTGCAATAAGAAAAATATGTTTGAATGTCCTGTGAAAGGGAGGAAGCGGTGGAACACAAGCTTCCTTTGATTATATTCAATGAAACCAGGTTGTGTACTTTATAAGAACAGGAGCAACTTCTAACATCTTTCTAATCCTGTTGCAACTTTGATCATTTTTCCTTTTAACCAATGGCTATAACTGGACCTAGCGAAGAGAGGAGCAGTTACTTCTCTCAGACAGCTAACTTTTATGTTTTGCTATATCTTTTTCATTCTAATGAAATCTTTCTCTCCATTTTAGACAAATATCACTTGCTGTGTCATAGCACATGGATTTCAGGACCGCCTGTGAAGAGGTAGGATCAGATTTTTTTTTCAAACAGTAGTAGAATGAAAATCACTGAATTCTTAATCTTTTTTATATGGAAGATACCTTTTTCCCCCCTTTTTTATTTCCCCCTGAAGTTTTAGGAATTATATAGTCGATGTCATTCAGCTGATCAGTTCATGGTGGCAGATGGACTTTGTAGTAAAAGATGAAAGAATTTGCTCAAGTGTATTTATCACTAGATCTCACCTTTGTTCCCATTTACCTCTTTAGGCACAATGTAGGTGCAGGCAGCTACATTTTGTGTGAGCTTTGCTATTCTTGAATTGTTTATATCTGAAAGCCTGTGCATGAAGAAAAACATCAGTGGAGTCAGGAATCTGGTGCTGCTCAGCAGAATCAAGGGGGAAATGTAGACGTATGGGAGGGAGGTGGGTGGGGAGAAGGGAAGCTGTGAAGATGACCGAAATGAAAAGCAATTCCATTCAGATTTAGTGAGGTAAGAGAGTAATTTTTGCCTAGAATTAGTTTCGTAATGTCAGTGCAAAGTACTTCAGTCTCCCTCCACTAGAGATGAGGGAAGTGCTTTCTGTGTTTATACTAATTTGCCTTAAAGAAAGCAAATAAAATGTATTTGTAGACATTAGCAAGGGCATCTTATTTACTCAGTGATTGTCTATGAACAATTGTTTTAATGTGATTTTAACAACTTCAGCAATTGAGACACAGTGAGAACAATTTATAGCAAATTATGTAATGATTTTAGTGCCTTATTATAATTAAAAAATAATGACAATTACCTGTAAACTGAAAACCACAAACAGCATTAAGGAAGGTAGGAATGGAAACAAGAAAACTGGCTAGAACTTTAAGACCATGATCCCATGAAAAAATACAAGTGAAGGGATTGGAACAGGACTAAAATGAAGAACTAACTGCAGCTAAAACCAATTGTGACTTGAGAATCAGTTGGAATAAATTAGGGGAGAAGAGAAAATAAGCAGAATAAACACTTAATCATGACAGTATCTGAAAGGAGTAGTAGGGTGAAAAAGTGATATTAAAATGAACCTTGCCTTTGGGAAGGAATACTGTGATGTTTTTCCAGGATGGTATATATCAGGCTTTAATACCTCAGAAGATGCATGGTGTAAATTCTATAGCAGTATATCCCAGATTATTGGCATGGAAGAAAGCATTCTTATTAATCTTGAGGTTTAGCTTTTCAAATAGAATATTTTCAGTTGGAAGGAGCTTGAAATGATCACGTAGTCCCACCTCCTAACTGCTTCATGGCTGACCAAGAGTTAAAGCATGTTATTAGGGCATTTTGGTACTGTTATTATTATTATTATTATTATTATTATTATTATTATTATTATTATTATTATTATTTATTTATTTATTTATTCTTAATGCACTTATTCAGGTAAAGAGGAAGATAAGTATTATTTTCATAGTTTTTTATGCTATTCGTTAAACTCTATAGACTCTTTAGGGGCAATTAACTTCACTCTGTGTCCAGCAGATATAATGACAAGAGCAGCCACAGAAAGATGACTTGGCATATGTGTCCTGTCTTAGCCTTTACAGCACAAGTACTGTACAGACAGATCTGTTTCATTCCATATCTAGTTTCTAATGGGGACATTCATTTCAAATTTAGCTCTTTAAAAATCAGCTGATTTGTGGAGCTTCCATGGTAGACAAGGGAAGGAGAGGATGATTCAACCCATCCAAAAAAAACTCCACAATCTGGAAATGGCAAAGAAAATCCTTTAACTGACATTTAAATAAAATTAAATGAGGTGGATTCAACCCCAGTTTGTATGTTTTATGTAAAATGGGGTTTGTAGCACAGAATCAGTGGTGTCACTTCCAAGACTATGGTCCATCTCTGTCCTCCCAAAAAGAAGTTAATAAAATACAGATTTTCAACCTACTTTCATCAAATGCCTGTCTCTAAATAAATAATCATCAGCCTTATGCTTGCATATAGTGTCATTTATAACTAAATCCTTAGCGCTATGATTGTAATGCATCATCTGCTTTGATTTTTCTTTGAAGGAAAATACAATGAACTAGATCTGAAAGCCCAAGAGAGGGGAGGCTGCTGCAGCTCCATGTGCCCAGAAGAGTCATGAGAGTGAAGATGTATCCCCAGTAGGCATATGGAGGCAGAGCACACATACACACTGCATGTATCCATATATATTTTTATGTACATGATGGGCTACACAGATCCAATAGCAGCACATAGAGCACTCACAAACAGCACCAATGCCCTCATGCTCTTCCCCTCTCTGGCTGAGCAGGATTGAGGTCCACTTATTAGAGTATATGTACATGTAGATGTATATATCTCACTCGCTCACGTTGTGAGTGCCGCCAGCAGTGGGGTTTAGACAGTTTGCCCAGTGTGCCCAGCACCTATCTCTGAATCCCAGTCTCCAGTCTCCCAGTCTAAGTTGGGCTTGGGTCATGGCCTGACAAACACACTGACTAGAAAACTGCACCAGTCCCATTTTTTCCACCTTAAGTCTCTATTTTCAGGTACTCATTTCCCACCACAAAGCACTGAATCCCTTCCCCTGCCTTTGGTTCCTCCGCTAAACATCCCATAATGGGTCCTGTGCAATCCAAAACTGCGTTCCATTGTGTGTCCATGCTCCCAGGCACTGACCTCCACTTACTCCAAGAGGTGTTTATGGCATTTTCTTACCATTACGGGTTTCACACTCAGACACTGGAGCTGAAGCTGTTCTAGGACAGCCCTGGCAGGGGACCCAGACTGGGTGTCCCTTTCTGAGTCCCTAATTTGGGTTCCCACCTGTTGTCATGGTCCTGTAGTCCTTTGAGCTTTGACTGATGGATCTGGGCAGGGATGGACTTTAAATATCGTACATCCAAGTATTAATTAATTACTTAATAAAATATTTCACTTGAGGTCAATATAAGGTGTAATCAGGTCAGCTATTTCAAGACACAATATATATCTTTCATCTATTACTTTTAATAAAATTTTCTTCATACCTTAAAGTTTGCCAGATTTGTCACCAAAATTCCATCTGTTACTTGAGCTTTGTATCCAAGTGGTGGTAGTGGCTTAAAAAAAGACCATTGTGCCAGTACATCCTTAATTAGCTTGTGGTTCTATTCCATCTTGTCACATCTTTGGCATTAGTTTAGTCACTTCAAGCCACAAATATTTTGCTGATGTTTTATTTATTTCAACTATTGATATGAAAGGTAAAGTAGCTGTACACTTTGCACCAGGTATTTTTGTTTAATTGCTTCTCTAGTCAATGCATTTAAAACTTTCAGGCTTCATACCTTATTGTATTAAATTCTCAGTCATGCTACATATGTGGGAAAAATATCTCTATGCCAGAATAGTTCCTAAGAAGTTTTTAATAATGGCAATAACATCTTTTGTGAAGCATCTTGACTAATTGATCTTCCTCCTCCCCTTTTCGTTTCCTTTCACCTGCATATCCTGGTGCTGTAGCCACTACACTGCAGAAGAACTGAGCTTGCTCTCCCAAACTGGTGAATGCAGCTCAGATTCTTGTTGGTACTTCCATCCTTAGTAATGACAGTAAATGGTTTGAGCTGAGTTTCAATTAGCATAAAGCAAAAATTTTCCACATAGATGTACTGAGGCTAAAGCATGTTTTTCATGGTGTCCATGACATACTAATTTTTTATTTTTCCTTAAATGACTTTTCATTCTAATTAGCTGCTGCTCTAGTGCACTGGAGGTCTCTGAGGGAACCTTAGTTCTTTCATTGTACTGATGCTTTCATGCATCCCTAATTTCTTCTAGTGTCTGCTAGTGAGATTTGGTTTGAGATTTGGGCACTGAAATGGTCTTGTCTCCTTACAGGTATCTGCATGTGCACTTTGTGCCTAAGTTCCTACAGCAGATCTGATTCGAGCAGTCAGGGTTATTATAATGTGAGATTAAACACAGATATGTAGACAGGTAGAGTTTGTTTTCAATATCAAAATGACTTCTAGGATCCTAATGATTATTTTCTCCCCCAAGCACCTTATCTTCAAACTGTCTTGCCTTTCAGGGTACCTTAAAGTAGTTTTATTCTGCAAGAAAATAACTTCCATGCTAGACAATGGAGACCATACACACATACACGTATTTTTTTAAGGGAAACTATGTGTTATCTAAGGAGATTACTTTTTAACTTGTTGGGTTTTTTTTGTTTTTTTTTTTTTTTGTCTGTGTGTGTTTGTGTGTGTTTGGCTTCTTTGTTTTCTGCTTGTGGGATTTTTTTTTCACTGTTTCATACTTTGTTATTCAGTATTCCATACTTTTTTCCCTCAGTGATCAGCAAATATATCCATTTTGTCTGCTCTGCTATTTAACAATTTCTAAACCATAAGACTATCCAGCTCCTCTCTTACCCTTTATCCCGAGCTTTTTGAACTTTACAAGAGCATAAATCACAGAGTCACTGGGTTCTTAAAACGCTCTCCTGTACTCACTTGACCTTATTCTATATTCTGAAAACTATCTCTTGGAAGATAACCTCAGTCTCTGACATAATACTGTCCTCTGCAGTGAAAGTATTCTTCTGTTGAAGACTTGAGATGATTATAATGCATTAGAACATTTTCCCCTGTTATTTTTTTCTTTTTAAGTTAATATTTTCCTTCTACTTTATGAACAAGCTGCATTAGTAGCTTTCTAACTTTTTGAAATCTCATTCTTTACTTCTAATAGCTTGGCTTTTCCCCCCCTCTAATATAACATCAGACTTATTCAAGTTAATAAATACTGCATTCGTTTTCCTGTTGACACTATATTCTTTTTTTTTTTTCACAGTAGTGTCCATTTTTTCTTTGAAAGATTAATTTGAATTGGTAAACTGTTTGTCCTCTGCTTTATGAATCCTATAAATATTCTTGTAGACTTCACAAGCTTTATAATTTGATGTGTTCTGTTATTCAAAGGTGTAGTGACCTCTATTTCAACATCTAGCTGGGGGGGAGTGGGGGGGAACGAACTTT